CAGTCCAACCTCTGGCAGCGACTGAATGCAGGAGAACAAATGCTTCTTTAATATACCAAAGAAAATATTTAATTAGGCCCACATTTTAGAGAGATTTCAGATATGACTGTATTTCTAACAAATACAGTGTGATAACTTGTCAAAAGAAGTGCACTTTAAACATTTTTTTAAAATAATTTGTTTATTTTTCTTAATTTTTTAAAATGTTTCCTTTCTTATTTTTTAAATGTGGACCATGTGGAGGGCTTAATGAGCCACTCGCCCTCATTCCTAATTGGTTTCAGATGGGACTTAGTATGGCCAACCCTCCGTGGTAACGCGCAAACTGAGTGAGTAGGGAGTAGGGCGAGGGAGTCACCAGTTGTTTGCTTTGTTGCTGCCGAGAGCCTGCAGGAGTCATGGGTGGGGTGCTGAGGGTGGGGGGTGGGGAGGTGTGCTCTGTGATGAGGAAGCTCAGCTTGGAGACACGGCCCAGAGGAGGAGCTGGTCCCAAAAGGTGGTTCTAGTCCCAATCGGTCGTTTTCGCTCCCKTGCCTGGCTGCCTCYGGACACTYCAGGATTTCTCAYACATGCATGAATGAGTCAAAGCAAGACTCTAGGCATGTTCWTGATGAGAGGATAARATTATAACATGAAATAAAACTCAAAAAAGTTGATTTTACATGATATAGCCCCTTTAAAAAAATTGAAGTGTTTGGTGGGGTGATGTTGCACCAAAATTTCTTAATTACTTCAACTTTGGCCTTAAATTAGTACAACCAAACATTTTACCAAAAAATGTAAAAGTTGCCTGTTCAACACTTTTATGTCAGTTGTGCTGTTTTAAGTTGCCTGAAAACTATCACTTTAGATCATGCCATCCAGGTAGGCCTCACACACAGTTCTAAAAAAAGTGAAATAAATAAATAAAACTCACACATCTAGGAACCGTTTTTAAGTTTTTGTATATTCTACCCTATATATCTAGTTTTGTTTAGTTTTTTGACAACTGGTTTAATAAAAAAATGCTTAATAAAAAGCAGTAGWGCATAACTAACAATAGTTTTATTGGTTTAAGTATAACAATGGCTGGCTTATCTTAATTTGTGTAAAATAATGTCTTTTTTTGGGGGAAGGGGGTATTTAAAGTGAAATCAAAACCAGAGAGGAATAAAATTAAAAAGAAAGAAATGAACACAACAGCGAGGAGCCAGCTTGCAAGGAAACCTCAACATAGCAGAAATGAAGCCAAAWCCAATACTTTGTCACTTCCATAAATTTATCTCATGTGATAGTTTTCCCATAAAACCTGCCAAACCACAAAGTCCTCTCAAAGGAATGATTTGTTCTTTGAAGTGGGCTTGTATGGTTAATTTATGAGCAGTCAGTTCATTAACTGAAGTAGACAGAAATCTGAGCGATCTCAATTTGAAGAGCAGGGAGCAATTCTTATGAGAGAGTTAACATACAAGCTGTGCATTCAGAAACTACATTCTGCCATCTTGAGTACAAAGCTGTGATAGATACCGTGTTCTTGTCTGACACAATGGCTTTTTGCTGCACGTGTGGTCATATGGTGACACCGTCACAATTAGTACTTTGTTTGCACATCAATTTGACCAAAAAGATCTGAAAAGTGCACATGTAACGTGTATCGGAGCATGTGCAGAAGACAAACTACCACTGTGTACGGATGTAGCACTTCAGCAAACTGTTCATTCATCCCTATCCAAACATCCATCAATGTTTTAAATATAATATCCCTTTGTTCATCTTATCTTCCTTTAACACAAACACAGTATAAGCTTCTCAATGTACAGTTAAAAATGTATTTACATTTCAGTTATTAGTGTTTCACCAACATACAAATTAGAATTTTYAATTTCTTTAGAACAATTTTCTAAACGTTGTGAAACTGAGCGGCACTAAAGCAAACCTCCTATTTGTAAGAGGTTAGCTATGTAAACTTTTGATTGTTTTTTGATAAGTTTTAGAATGTGAAATGAAAAAAATTAAATGTGCAGTTATCACAAAATAATCTGACACCATAAATTTCACAAACTCAAGCAGTTAAAGCTTGTTGTGGCTCCTTTAAAGCATGAAAGGGGAAATGAAGAAGAGGAAAAGCAAGTTTCACTTTTGAAGCTTTTATGAAATTGAGGAAGCTGACAAAACTAAGACCGCCAGTGTGACATAAAAAARGAGAGAAACACATTTTCAAATCATGTAATATCGAAGTCTAATTAATGGATTCCAGAGCTGATAMTTGTGTCTGCTTTGCAGTATTTTACCAGACATTAAGGGATAAATGATGTCCTGTTTGAAAATTACACCACCACCTAGCAGCATTCACTTCCTCATTAAATCTATAAAAAGAGGACATCAGCCTTTTTTCACCAGTAGCTTTTCCTCCCACAGCAAGAATTTGTTCACTTACTTCTGTCTAAAAAGGAACATTTTCCAACAAATTAGTTGGGGCATATTATTTTGTGGAAATTTTCACTTTGTGGGCGTTCTGTAATGTTACACAGTAAGTATTGGAAACCATTATTTGTATTAAAAATTACTATTTATTTTCAATTAATGTGTAATAATAATAATGTGTAATAATAAAGTGTAATAGTAATTTTGTGCAGCACATTAACCCTGTAAAACCCCAAAATAGAAAAAAGCAAACTTTTTTTTCATCTCTTATAAAGGAGGCCTCTCAAGCAGAAAATGAAGGGTTACCTAATTTTTAATGTTTAGTAAGTTTTCTACAAAAATATTGCAATGCCGCAAGATCAGGCCTGGATGGAAGCAGAATTTGTTTATTTTTAATCAAACTGTCAAACCATAATGGATAACTAAGTGTTGATTTGCACTGTGGATTGCTTACAAAACTGTATAATAGTATAAATAATAATCAAACATTGGTCATAATGTTATGAAACTAAATTTATTGGTCATAAAAATTTGGGTGTGGACCCAAGATACCCTGGAACCCAGATTAGTGGCAGACAACAGTAATAACCACTTGTGCCCATGTTTAGTGGTACTCCAAAAACTTTTCTTTTTCATCTGAAAAGCATATATACACACATCACACTTCCTGCATGTTATTGGTGCAGCGGCAGCTGTTATTGCTGTGTCTGCAGCATCCTCTCTTTTACAGGGAAATGTGTGATTATGAACTTGGACACATCCACTGGAGGAGCACGTAACATCCAGAGCAAATGCTTTTTTCTTGTAAGATATTTACATAATCAGGTCTTATGGTTTAACCTTGTAGTGCCAATGCATTCAAGAGTCCAGAACAATGCACCACGTTGACAACCCCCCAGATCTCTTATACTCACACAGTCAAGTATATCCATGCTTGTCCCCACACCCATACACTAACCATTCTACACAACCAGTATCTGGCTCTAGATATTTGAGCAAACAAAGCCAAAAAAAATCAGCTGTACATGTACTTCTCACAAATAAAATGCAGCCAAAATTTCAAAAACTGCTAGGGCTTGAAGTATCACAGCAAAGAATCACCCTAACCTTTCATAA